TTTTTAAGTGCGGATTCGTAATCAGCGTGAAAAACTGCGTCTAATGATGTATTTTTAAGCATTGCTCAAGTTAAAACAACAATTCGAACCTTCGCATCCGAAGGTGGACCGTTAGCTGGCCACGCCGTATTGGATTACTGAATATGTTGTTTATCTTATATTAAAAAAATCCCTAAATTGAAAAACCCATAAATTAAAATCCCTACTTGGTGACCAAAACTGACCTTAATTGTTGAATTATCCAGAAATGTGGACATAATTTAGGGACTGTTTCAGGGAATCAGAATTTGTGATAAATAATAACCAACCAAAAAACAGGCTTGCCTTATAATTTGCAAGGAATAATAGAAGAATCTGCCAGTCCTAATTTAGGCTTTTCCACATCAATACGCACGCATTTGCCCTTTTCTTGAATGAATAGAGAAGTATTTGAAAAACATGGAATTTTTTAAGAGTATGATTTTTTTGGATTGTGTAATACGCTTGGATGTACATTTATTGAAAAATAAGTGTAAAGCCAAAATGTAGTTGCACACAGATTCCAACACTTTATCCTTTCATTACGCGATATTTGAGTGTTACATGTTGTATTTTTGCCTTTCAGTTACGATGATTACTTCGCCAGAAACGTTGTCCTCAGCATCTATCGTAATAACAAGCACTTTGTCTGTACAATCGACAGTACCACGGACATTAGAATCTACCGCTACATCATCAGAAAGTTCTAATACGCTATCAACAAATGAACCACAGAGTAGTGATTACATTGCCATAAATTCGACAGAGACCTCAGCGTTATCAGAGACTGAAGCATCACGTAGTTCAACACTAACAGAAAGTAGTGCAGCAACAATACTGGAAACATCTCAGATCTCCACTAAACAAACACATGTCACATTAGAGCCCGAAACTGAGTATCCCACATCTCAAATTATTTCTAGTTCAGCTTTTCCTACAATTGAATATACCAAGGAGGAATCTTCGACAAGAACCACAACAGCATTTACGGTGATAATTATGCCGTCATCGCTTGTATCGGAAACCAATACGATAGATCAGTCTCAAGCTACACTTTCATCATTAATAAATATAACTACAATTCAGTCGACGATATCTCAACAAATATCAGAGACACCGTCTACTCCAGTAACAGAAAATTTCCTTCAAAGCTCAACTTTAGCACCAATTAGCATATCATCAGAATATGGCTCGACCGGTATGTAAAAAACACCCATTTCAGATTATATACAGATAATGTAAAATGCACCATTTGTATAGAACCATCAGTATTATCACAATCCAGCACGATAGTAGGTATGAGTACGTATAGTAGCAGCTATTCTGTGGCCTTTACTACGACCAGTATTGTCCACAGCATTACGCCACTTTTCACAAGCACATCATCAACAACAACCCAAAGTTTTCAAGAACTATCAAGTGTAGTCTCAGTTCAATCTTCATCTGAGCAAACAGGAACACTTTTGAGTACCACTTTTTCAACGATATCTGCACAATCGATCACATCGCCATCCAGCACACTAAGTTTAGTACCAACAGCAGTCGGTACATCGACTATGTCGTCTTTTACAAGCTACTTGTCGTTTACGAGCGCTTCTGCTACTTCGTCGACTTTATCGCAAATATCCTCGACATCCACGGTACTTTCTAGTATTATGTCTTCTTCAGTGTCAACAAGCAACATGTATTTCGAATATTTATCATCTGTTTCACAGTCAGAAATAACCTCGAGTCAAGAAATAACTTCGACTCAAGAAACAACCTCAAGTCAAGAAATAACCTCGAGTCAAGAAACAGCTTCGAGTCAAGAAACAGGTTCGAGTCAAGAAACAACTATAGTTGCGACGATCAATACAACGTCTGAAACTGCGGGAGAGTCAAGCAGCTTAGCATCGATTGTCATAGCATCTCAAAGCAGCAGCATCTCATCAGCAACAAGTGCATCTGTAACAAGTAGTGATAACACAACAACTCTAATATCAACTGTGACATCGATGTCAAGCACGAGCACTTCGACATCCATAAGCACACTAGATGCTAGCACACCTACCATAAACACGTCAGTGGCAACCATCACTATACCGATAACAGTCTCGCCAAGTTAGTAAACTCACGAACGTCAGCCGTATAATCGTAAATTGTTACACTCGAACTATATATAAAACTTTTGTTCTAGATAGAACTTGCCCGTGGAGCTGGACTGTTTTCAGTAATTGTTCACCTTCTTGTGGTAATGGAAGTCGAACCCTGGCAAGAAGTTGCTCTATTTGCTCCGACACATCGTGTACTTATACGATGGAACAAAGAGTGGAACAATGTACATTCTTACCGGCTTGTCCAGGTAAAATATTAAGTGTAGTATACTCTTATTTGTATATTTAAGCTTTTCTCAATTGCAGAGACAAATCTCGTTTTGGATGCGGTGCGTGGTACAGATCCAACAGTTCGTTCGGCTGCATACCAACTTTCTGAACCGATGTTTTATCCACCCTATGATTTCAGCACGCTATATGTATGTAGTTTTACTTTTTGTGATTGAAGCATTCTTCATGTTAAGATTTATTTCATTATCTTAAATCCGTTATCGATTGGAAACTAGCAGGGAATGTTTATCCAATTAAAGTATACGCTAGAGTTTTGAAAACCTTTTCTATTCTGCCGTGAGCGATGTCTCTTAAATTCTGACCACATCGGACGGTTTGTATTTGCATGCGCTCACTACAAAAATCTAGAATACGATAGGACGCTATATTCAAAATTAGACTAAAACTATTGGAAATAATTGAAATACTGAGGCTTTCGCGGTCATTGTGGAGTTCCGCCAACTGTTTTCTCAGACCAAGGTAAGCTTTCATTTAAATTTCTTTCATTAACCGCTAAGGTAATCTTTCATTAAGTCAGTGCGATTTACACTGACACTGGCGCTTAATGAAAACTGAGCTTGACCGTTTTTTTCAACAGTTGAAATCGAGCATATGCAGCATCTTGTGATTGATCGAAAGAGTAATATCAGTTAGTTTTCCTGTTGAATCTGTTATCTTTTATCCTATTATTAAAAGAATCGTGTCATTTTATTTCTCCAGTTATTTAGTTACTTGAAATGAGTTGTTGTAAGCATACAAAGAGACTTATTGAATGTGTCTTGGGAAGACAAACGTCTTCTCAGTGTCGAAAGACCACGGAAATATAATCTTTCTTTATTTTCCTAGCGTTTCAGATTGTTTGAAGTTCAGGATAATCATTAACTTTAGGGTTCTGTCTCTTGCTTGCTTAACACAAAATGTGGCAGCAGCGCATTACTTCTACTCTTCTACTTTAGTGAAAACAATTCGATTTAACTGACTTTTCGTTTCAGTTTCTTGATTTCAAATTGAAATTGTTATTGCGGAAATACTGAGATCGAAATTTATTATGGATACCTAATTACACGTTTTTGTCTCAGTTTTTCATATCGAGTTTTCAAAGATCTTTCAAAACATTCTCAAATATTATTAATCCAAACGGGAACATTCAGAGCTAACAGACTATGAATTTTTTTCAAAATCAATACTCTTTGACGAAAAATTGTTTATGACATGAGGAGAAAGGAGCTCGCTAAGAATGAGAAACTACTTGCTATTTTATATGTTTAGATAGTCGACAAAGGTTATATATCATTAGGTCAACCTTTATATCAGCGTGACATGACTGAGAGCGTGTTTAATAGCTTAGACAGAGCTATCATAGCTCCTTATTGGACAAGTATTTCTTATATTCCAGTAAGTATTTAATTGCATCTGTAGTTCTATTAATGTGGATGCGATATCTTATATTTTTTTAGAATCTATCTAAAGTATTTGTTAATATGTACAATACAAGCTCAAGCCTAAACGATATTTACGATGTAATTAATCAAACAATTATACAAGCCTGTCCTACTTTAGAATGTGATTCAGTAAAATATAATGTTATGAAAATTCTGCGTATTCAATGGACCAATATGCAATATCAATCAGCAAATGGTACTAATTGGACTGTACGTACATAACATATGTTTATCTGAAAATGACTATAAGTTACTTGATGTTTCAGAATATTCAATTTAGTGTTTTTATTATAAATGCCTACGATACAGCTTTATCCACTAGGTCCGTTTTAAGAACTTATCTTGCTTTTGATTATCGTAATCTACCATCCATTCCAAATTTAAACCCATTTGTTGGTAGGTAAATTAATCATACATATTCAATACATATAACTCTATAATCTAAATATTATGATTTCTAGGATATCGAAGTCAACCTTTAAATAACACATTGCCTTACCTACGTATTTTGAATGATCAGCAAAATAGTGCCTTCATAGGTATTTTGTCACTCATTTGAACCTTATATCTTTTCCACTATACTTAATGGAAATAACTTGTTTGAGGTCCCAACTCGATAACTGGAATGTACATGGGTGGACGATTTCTCACAAAATGTGAATATGACTATTGGAAAGAAGTTCAAGAGATTCAAATAGATCCTACTAAGAATTTGTACGATACAGTGTGAGTTATCATCACTTTATTTGTATGTAATTAATAACTGAATTGTTCAATATATTTTTCAGTGTTAATCCACGATTTCCGTGTCCTTGTACATACGATCAAATTCTTAAGGATCAACGTTTTATATCGTTAAACAATGAAAATCAATATGAAAAATTTAATAACATCATTTGCTTTGGACCTCGAAACCAAATACGCGTAAAAACTAGCAAAAATACATACAATCTTCTAAATTCACAGGTAATACTGTGGAATGAAACACAGTTTCTTACAGTTTCTTGAACGATAAACTTTTTTATCTAGACTTGTTGTTATAACTCGATAACTAGTTCAATGATAATATCGGGTCCTTTTGCTGGCTCAGTTTTAAGAGATCCATCAATCATATATCAACCCACTGCTCACGAAAGACGAATACCAGAACGGTACTACAGAATCTGAGTATGAGATATTCATAACTGATTGCAACTTTATTGTTTAGTGATGATTGTTGTGTAGCAACGGGCAATATCATTAACTGGAATACGTGTAAACTTTATTATCAAATACGTCCGGCTAGTGATTGTGACACTTATCGACCACCTAGTATAGGTAATTATCATGTAAATGAGACGCTTAAATCAATCAAAATATTTTTATTCTGCTTTAGTATGGTACGGTGGCGATCCGCACGTGTATACGATAGATGGAAGTTTATATACATGCCATATTGTTGGAAGATACATTTTTGCACGCACATCATCACTGGGAAACAGCACTGCATTTAAAAATGATAATTTAGACGGTAGTGATGTGGACAACATTTATTTGTATCCTTCGGACTTATTTACTATTTGGGTGGAAGCTAAATCAGAGTCACCGCTACTGCCCTACATACGATCAAAAGGTTATGCATCTGTCTTTACACGTTTCATTCTGAGTGCAGATGAAGTAGAATTTAGTATATCAAGTCAACCTGACAGTACATTCAGTAAGTATCATTTTTTTGAAAGTTGATTATTCGACTGAGTGAAATAACATCGCTTCCTTAAGAGATTTCTTAGCTAGTCAATAGCCATTGGTTGTTTTTTCAAAATGGGTGTGGAGAGCTGCTATTCTTATAATAAGCGTTTTATAATACTAAAACTTTATTGTAATCATAATCACGATGTCGCGATTTAAAGTATTTTCACGGAAATTAGTTTTCCTGTGGAGATGTGCACGAATAATGGCCTATTTTCATAACTTTTGAGAAGAGCATTTTTTTCATTATTGGTCGCCATAACGGCATCCAAAGAGACTCTACGCGCCGTCTTTCAAGAAAGCGTCTCAAAGTGATTCTTTTTAAGAGAATAAAGAAGAAAAATAAAAGTCTCATTTAAATATATAATTACTGAAAATCTCAGCTCGTAGCGCGATACCTCAAATCTAGTGATCGTCTCCATCTGCTAGCTAAGAAAGCCATATGTTGTGGTAGTCCACTGACTAAGAATATCTATAACGAGATCTATATCCTAAACTTTAGTTTTAACCGTTTCAAACAATTTAAACATTACACTACCCACAAATGATGTTTCATATTCTTACACTAAAAATGATAGCGAAAGACCATTTTCAATTGTTCAAACAACCTATAGTCAATTTTATGAAGGTACAGATACGACATTACCAGAATTAACAATTTCATTATGGTCAGGTTAGTAAATTTATCTTATTTCTTGATTCGTTGTGTATACATGAACAAATATTTCAGGACTAACACTAACATGTACAGCAATATTGCAAGTTGTTTCCTGTACCTTGTTATTACCAGATAAGTTTAAAACTTATATTGAGGGTTTAGCTGGTAATTTTGATGGCGACGCAACGAATGATTTACGTTACAAAACAAATGACACAATAGTTATTGATCTCAAAGATGATTCTCAGGTGTACGATGCATGCGTATCATGTAAGTAGTAAAACATATATTGTAATAGTAAAACAGGTACAACTTGCCTTTCTAATAGGGGCTGAAAATAATACTGCACCTAGTGCTACTAAAGTTATTTATTATTATGATTTGCTCAATTGGTTCAACAACTCAAATACTATAGCTACTATGCAAAATCTTAGTTTCGACTTCAATTCTACAACAGTATATGAAAAATGTTTCAATGAAGAACTTTGTGTTCATGATTATCTTATTAGTTCTAACTATTTTACAAGTCAGACAATAGAAAAAACTTTTCAGACCTTCAAAGATGGAAGAATAATATTAGGTAAATAGATAAAATTACTTGTATTGATCATATTATATCTCATGCTTCATATATACATCATAGCTCAAAATGTACCAATAATAATGGTTGACCCTATAATTAATGTTTATGCACCTTCAAGTCGATCATTCTCGTTTAACATTACTGTTACAGAGTCTAATTTGATAGACAATGTTACATATCTTAATCAAACATTCAGTGCATCTAGCACCAATGATACGAGTAATACAAACACATATACCATTCATGTACCAGCATCTAATTTCAGTATGATAATAGATATAACGTAAGCAATTTTGAACTGTTTTCAATATTAATCTTCTAACTTAAATTAACATTTTTTAGTATATACGTATATTATAACAAATCCTATAAAGTTGTTCAAACATTGGACGTGAATATGTGTCTTTGCCAAGACTCTATTTCATCGTGTGATTGGTCTCATACGATCACTCTTGGACCCCATTATCAAATAGCAAACTGCAGTTGTAGAAAAAATTACACAGGTAGTAATAAACGTGTAGAACAAAAAAAACTAAGTATAAAAACGTGATCTAGTATTTATTTTATAGGCCAATATTGTGATGAAATGTTTAATCCATGCAATTTACCAGGTGTCTGCGAAGTAAATTTTCAATATGGTGCAACTTGTACTTTCTCACAGAATGATACGCAACCATATGTTTGCGATGGTGATTGTCTAGACGGTTTTGAATCGCTTGACAATTATACATGCAGTGGTAAGAGAAAATCAAAATTCGTAGAGAAAAAATGATAAATACTTCTTGTATTATAGATAAAAATGAGTGTCTTAACACTAGTGTATGCGCACCTGGAGACTGTGTGAATTTGTACGGCTCTTACACTTGTCGGTGTTTTCATGGCTACCGTTTAGTGAATGGTTCATGTATAAGTATGTGGATAATAGGGTAAACACTTATCAAATTAATTTCTGTTTCATTATGATAATGAATAGGTATAAATCAATGTAGCGAACCAGAAGCCGATGGTACATGGCCCCTTCGTTGTCCAGATTATGGTACAATATGTAATTATAACAGTACGTTACAGAACTATACATGCGATTGTTATTCACCTTATTTTATTAATACAAATGGCACGTGTTTACGTAAGTTTTTCATATTCTGTAATGAAATCAAAACTAAACAATTTTTGTTTTTAATCTTTTAGTGTTGAATACATCATTATGTGATAATAGCACATACATTTGTCAATTTAATACTTTAGCAAACTTAGAAATGAAAAATGTCCAGTTGTCTTCTGATCTATATTGTTTAGGTGGTAAAATATTTAATAATGGCACATGCGAATATAATCGTAAGTATAAGACTCGTTCATTCTTATTAATGGCAAACTTTATTTTTATGAAGAATGGTGCAGTAATAGTTGTCCAGGTTTTTGTGAACTCAATTCAAACGACAATAATCGATCATATTTCTGTAATTGTGGAAAAATACCTGGCTTTAAAATTTCAAACGATGGTAGAACTTGTTCACGTAAGTCATAGATCAATACTTTTCTAAACGATTTATTCTAGCGATTATTCATTTATAGCATGCCATAATTCGACTTATGGTTATAATTGCAATATGACTTGTACATGTTTATCTAATGGTGTATGTAACGTTAACGCAACAACTGTGGATGATAGCTGTATATGTAACAGTAATTACATCGGATCTCAATGTCAAATGCTAAAGCACATTTGTGGTAAATTAGAAAATATTTTAAATTAACCGGTGGGCCAGAATAAATGGCCGCCTCAGTATTTTCATAATATCTCTTTCAATTGTCAAAGTTTCGGACTGAATTTTGCTTTAAAAAGGTTCAGCGTTCAATTCTCTACACAATCATATACAAATGGGTGTCATAGGAGTAGAAGCAAAACAGATATGAGAGTAATACTGCGAACATGTAATATCAACAACTTTCAAAGCACAATTGATTTTCGTTTCTTCCTCCTGGGGCGACACTGTTCTAAAACTTCAAAGTACCATTTATAGTATAATCGTGTGCATTCTATTGGATGGAACATAGGAAAGAATATTTCAACTAAAAATATTGATAGAGGATCCAGCTTTTTTGACAACTGGATGGAATCTGGTATATTTGGGCTTTCTGCTTCAACCTAGTCGACAGGAAATGTCATTTATTTTATTTTTTGACGGAGTTACATAACTTTTCCAAGAACATGAAAAGTTACGGTAAAAAAGCGTTTTTTGAAAATTTGAAAAAAGAAACGCTTATTTTTAGACTATAGATTTTTGTTATGAAAATTCTTCAACATACGAGTAAGATAGAGTTTTTTAAACTCTAAAAGCTGGATGGTTTAATTTATTCATATAGATCAACAGGAGAACACATAAATACAAGAAACTGTATTTTATGCTTGAAAATTATTGATGTTGCATGTTCGCAGTATTACTATGATACCTTTTTTGCTTTTACCTCTATGACACTCATTTGTATATGATTTTGTAGAGAATTGAACGCTGAATCTTCTAAAAACAAAATTCAGTCAGAAACTATGAAAATTGATGAAGATATTGGGAAAATACTGAGACGGCCATTTATTCTGGCCCACCCGTTACAATACTGAAGTCAAAGTTCTTGAGTGGTATGTGCAATGATGCTCATCATCGATATCTAAAGCATTAGCGAACTGTTCAAATTAACTATTTGAATGAATATTTCCATAAGTTTTATTGTACACTTTTGTAGATAACTCATCAAATAGTTGTGATCGGGTCACTCAAGACTGCATTGCCTATTCGCCTAATCCGTTATTAGCTTATGATTGCCTATGTAAGGCTGGATATCAATCGAATTCAAATAGTGACCAGTGCTCCAGTAATATATTTTCTTTTTCCTCTAAAAACGTTGTACTTATTTAACTCACATGTAATTTTTTTCTTAATTACTTTTGTTAAGATATTGATGAGTGTGAGTTAGGAATGGCAGACTGTCCACTTATTGTATCTTATTGTGTTGATACAAATGGTAGTTATATCTGTGAATGTAATAGTGGTTACGAATTTATGGTAGGAATTTTTGTTGCATATGATTCATTCCATGACAGTTGAATCTGCATATTTTTTTCTCTTCTTTTTATCATTAGATTGCGAATCAAACAAATTCAACTTGTCAAGACATAAATGAATGTGTCAAAAATCCTCTCATATGTACAAACTATACTATGACATTTTGTGAAAATGTTCCAGGAACCCATGAATGTCGGTGCAACCCCGGCTATGCACCAGACGGTAGGTAGCGATACAATCTAATTAACAAGTAATTTTGTTCGAGCTTTGCTCGTTCTACTGCCATAACCAGTTTTCTATTTTTTTTTTATTATCTATTTGGAGGTGATTATCAACGAAGTTATGCCAACATATTTAATACAAGTTTAACCTGTATTCCAATTGATTACAGTAAAAGATGTCAGGGTATATGTAATTTTCCTTCAAATTGTACAATAAGTGGAATATGTGTATGTCCTGATGCGGGAAATATGGACATTGTTAACATAGCCAATGGACAAACATGCGAATGCAAAACATATCCAATAACATATTACAATTCGTCCCTAACAAAATGCGTTCCAATAGAAGGTAAGTTAACTGTTAACTCTGACATACTGATGATTTGTATGTCTATCAGCACATAATACTATTACCATAAATCTGCACATTGAAAAAAGAAAAACAGCAAAAGATAGACTTCATTAGCCTTAGGTATGCACCGGTTTCCGTTTTCAAATCGAAAAACCGACACGATAAAACCGAACATTGTCGCATGCAAGAAATTTTCATAGATGGTAGGACACTATATAGTATCTATAGGCAAGAGGTTATTGAAATCGACGTTGGACGTCTGGAAAGCTTCGCTTGTTAGTATTATTATGAATTTTTGTGTCTCGACAGCTATACGCAACTTGAGAAATCAGAGGACATAGCACAGATGATCAGAAGAAGAAACATATGGCATACTCCATTTACTGAGGGACAAATACCAGATCCGTTCGTTAAGTCAAGATGTAGATTTGTGTGTGCTTTTATCTGGTTTTAGCGGTTTTAGCTTTCTGCGGCTTGTCCAAGCGTGACGCTGTGACATCTTTGACACACTAATCTTATCTGAAAAACTATTAAAGCTAGTGAGTTCGCCCAAGCGCCATTCAACTCAGCTCAACGTCCTCTATCTCCAGTAAAAAAAGGAGAAAATTTGGTTTGAGTTTAGCAGTTTTATAGCAAATTTCCAGAGCGTGACGCTGTGACAAAGAAGGTGCTTTTTTCTTTGGAATCTGGGGGATTTTTGAAAATTTCCAGAGAAAGTCATCGATGAAACTTTTTATTTCCAAACGGTTATGTCGAGAAGAGAACGGTCTACATGTTAGTAAAAAAAATTTCCTTCTAGAATCCTCGTGGATCGCAGAACGTTATTTTATTAGCGTGACGCTGTGACACTCTTTTTTGGGAGAGCAGCCCCTGATACTCAGTACGGCCAAAAGAACTTTATTTTTATCTTTACCAGAGCTCTTGCTAGGTACTCACGATTGACGGGAGAACTGGCACTCTAAACTTCAAACCCGGCTGGAAATAGCCCAAAATCTGGAGGTCTCTGGAAAGCCTGTTGCTCGGCGAAAACATTCACTGGCAAAACAAAATGGGGCATTTTGTAGAGAATTTAATTGTCTATCGACTGGTGTACTTTCTATATTTTTTAGACAAAATTTCTTGGTCAGAAAATTGAAATAAAACTTTTTAAAAACTTAAACTCAGTTTTTAAACCAAAATTTTGTTTTTAAAGCACACAAGATTCGGAATCAGCATGAAAAATTGCATCTGGCGCTGTGCTTGAACCACTTCTACAATGGAAAACATTTTTTAAAAACTTAATCAGTGAAGTATCGCGTTACGTGGGCAAGCCGTTTGATTGTCGGTTGACCGAATCGGTACAGATACAATCAGATGTTTCTTTGACATTAGTGAATAGATGTTATGTGCTCACTCTTTATATCATTTTAAAACGTTAAATAAACATGTTTGAGACTTTTTCAATGTCGGTTTAAATCAGACATCAGTGCATTCCTAGTTAGAGTCTAATCGATGTATTTTCAAACTTGAAGCAAGAAAAAAAAATGTTTTTCAGCAGTTCTCGTTCATATAAACTGTTCATTGGTAATCAATTCTTTTTTTCTAAATTCAATTGTTATTGCTACTATTTTTCATTTTAGGTGAAACTATTTTGAAAATTTACTTAGACAATTCAACGACTAGACAACTATCTATCATCCAAATAGAGCAGCTCATAAAAGACATAGTAAGTAAAATATTCAGCTAAACTTTCATTACTATTTATGGTTAAGAATGCAATTGTCATAATGGGTTTCCTAAAACTTTTAGATTAATAATTTTACAAAGATAAATTTAATTTGTGATAATTGTTTAACATTGTACTTTCTGAACTACACGTAAGTATTATTAATTGCTTATTTTTTCTCTTATCTTTATTATTCGTAATTGTCATTGTTGAATTTAGGAATGGTAGTATTTCCGACAATATTCTAGTTGCACGTATAAACATTTCTCTAAGTACACGGTTACGAGTTGATTTAGTCAATGATCTATTTAATTTCACTGCACTAGACGACGTTTTCATTAGATTAATTCAAATAATAATGAATCCAAAAACTAATATTGTTGGTAAGATGTTTTTAAATTTTAAATAGATATCAATCAATACGCATAATTTTTAACTGTTCATATGATATATCAACATTTTATTTGTAGAAAATATCTATGGAATACAACCTCAATGTGTGATTTGTGAGTATTTGGAAACGGGTCAGTGCAATAATAATAATAATGCTTGCAACTGTTTTTTAAAAAATAATGTTACATATGAGCAACCATATTGTGAGAATTCAATCGACATATCATTGAAATCTACTGGAACCACCAACTGGACAGTTTTACTAGGTGTTGTTAGTGGTATTGCCGGTTTATTACTTGCCATTTCATTATGTATGTGTGCCTATTTTATTTATCAAAAACGTCGTCGTCCAACAACGTAAATAACATTGATAAATAATCTTCTCTCGCAATATTTAGTTTGTGTGTTTTTTTAGTAAAACGGTAGTTTCAAGATCTATATGGACTATTCCAAGAGTAAAATTGCCAACATTGGGTAGCATGGTACCATTCGACGACATTGGTTTTACTTATAATGAAGGCAACAGTGATGATGGCAGTACACATGATTTACAAATTGAAGAATCAATATCGTCCACCTATCGTGCTACATACGATAGTGAACAAACATTGAAATCAATTGATAGTCAATTTTTTAAAGATTTAGAAAATATTACGTCACTTCGTACGTCAAGACCACGTCCACAAATTTCATCTACAATTGATACGTTAAACAGTATCCCAGTGAACAGTGATATGAGTACAAATGTACTCGAAGATTTCGATGAATTAAGCGAAAGCGAATTCATTACCGATTTAATGGACGATATGATCAAAAACGATATAAATGACGATTTTACCGAAGCACTTAATCCACATTTAGCAATACCACGAGTAAATTCGACTACAAAATCAGACAGCCTATTTTCGGTAAAGTACGATTTCTTTGACAAAAAATTGATTATAATTTCTAATTCTTTTATTCAAGCAAAAACCTTTCTATTTGTATATTACCGCTTGGAATAATACATTTTTCTATAGTGAAACAAGTGGTTGTCAATTTGTCTCTATGAAGAAAAGATGCAGTAAAACACGCTCTACAAAATGACTATTGATTGACCCCGCTAGCTCATCTAGTAAGATAGTTATAGATCCGGAAATGTGCTGAACAAAAAAAAAATTAACCGTGAACCTCTTCGTATGCTGGTGCTTCCAGTAGAACTCTCATAACTCCATCAAACCAAAAGATTTTTCGATCGGGTTTTGCCTTGTTTTGATCAGAAATGATTGCTCTTCTCTACCTAACTGAAAAATCAAACTTCGATCACGTTTTCTGTTTCTTGCTTGAGCACATTGTCGGAAACGGGAGCTGCCGATTTTTAAAACGTCATTCTCAAGCGCACGATCTTGTCTAAAAATATCTTTTTACAGACCACAAGAAAGAGTACATTTGAAGGTACCAAACACAAACTAAGTTCTCACTTTTGCTAAGCCTTTTTATGGAAATAATAGCAGAAGAAAAAGATCAAGTCGAAAAACGTACCAAATTTAGAAATTTGCATTTTTTCGCCTTTCGTATAATTTGTTTAGTTTTCTTGATTGAAGTTCTGAAATTAAAGTTTAGGTATGATTTTGTAGAGAATTTCACGTGGCTTCTGTTAAAAAAATGAATTTGCTCCATGGAATCTAAGGAATGGGTGTTAGAGCAAAATTACCGACATTATTTATGGTACACCCGTTATATGAGAAACGTTTCTAAGCTTATAACTTTTGTGAAACTTCTTCCGTCTTGCAAAGTAGAAGGAGTTTCAGTTTATACTCAAAAATTAGGCGAATACTAGTTATTTTGAACACCCGTTCTCCCTGCTTGCACGCACTTAAAAAGTATCCTTACACGATCTTAAAATGGCCTTTACGCGATCTGGAAAGGTTTACGCTATGGTATCTTTACGTGATCTTAAACTGTGTTCTACACGATCTTAAAGTGACCATTACGCCATCTTAAGGTTATGCACATCTTTTAGAGACATTGAGTTGTAATTAGATGTGTATGTACACGATCTGAAGGCTGGCTTTACATGGTTCTACAGTGCTTTTACGTGACGTTATGTCGCTCTTTGCTTTGTCTCTAACCTCTGCGGGTTTTGAGTGTATGTTAAATCTGACTTTAGTTGGTGGTACCTCTGCGTTTATGTTTCAGTTTTCTACTATGGGTACATGAGGATACATTTTTTCTATTTCTAATGTGTAGCCGTAGCCTCCATTAAGTTTTTTGCTCTCAGATGGTGCATATGCCAAATTAACATGCGAGAAAGTTTATTTTAGACCAGCAATGTACTTCACCATGCAGATCACGGTTACCAACAACTTTTATAAAAATTCTACGATTAAACATAAAAAAAAAATTCGGTCCTAATGTACATGACGTAAACCTAAGCTGTGCTTTTTTTTTAGTGTTTTGTGAAATTCTTCATGCCATAGTGAGTAGAAAGATTTTCAGTTTATACTCCAAAGCCCGGAATATTTATCTTAATTTTTACCCATCATTCCCTTGCTTCCACGATTCTAAACCTAAATATGACCTTACACTTTCTTAAAGTGGCCAGTATCAGACCTTAAAAGGCCTTTACGTGCTCTGAAAAGTTTTACACGACTGACGATGATACCTTTATGCGATCTTAAAAATACCTTTAAACGAACTGAAAAGATGCTTTACTTGATCGTACACAAAAGTAAGCTGATTTATTCTATAAAGGTATAATTATGAGTTTCACATTTTAGCACCGATAGGTGCTACCCTGCCAAGATTTCTTGCTATATGCGCTAGCGAAATCAATCAATAGTCATTTTATAGAGCGTGTTTTACTGCATATTTTCTTCATAGAGACAAATTTACAACCACTTTTTCCACTGTAGAAAAATGTATTATTCAAATCGGGTCAAGACTTCTGGGCCACCTTTTATACGTGATGTAGAATCATCATTCGCTTGAAATAGAAATAATAAAAGTTAGGTTCATTTATGTATAAATAACAATGAAATTAGATAATTTTTTCTTTTTCTTTTTAGTTCTGAGATATTCGTAACAATTCATCGATCGTTTTATTTTACGTTCATCTTATTTTTTATTTAATTATTTATTAAACGAAGTTATTTTAATAACAAACTTTTGTTACTACTTCATTTATCAAATTACTGCCGGCCAGCCGTTTGATTTTCTCTACAGTGTGCCTCACAGTATTGTTGTTACTACTTTTTATTTGTGAATCTATATCCGAGTGATAATTTTTGTAATTTTGTAATTCTTATTTTGAGAAAAAAAGAATTGACTACATAGTGGTGGATAAAATCGTGTACCTTGTTTCGAAGCTCTGTTGTTATAAACTTTATATTTTGTCTATTTTATTTATTTTTTTGTTAAAAATAAATCTTTTATATAATTTATTTTGTGTAATAAACACACATCAAGAATGAAATATTTACAACAAACATTTATACAGAGGAAGCTTTTATATTATAAATTATTCTTTTCTATAGTTTTCCATTCATTCAGCCAATTGGAATTAACCGAGGATATGAAGTGAGTAATGCATTACAATTTCCGATATTATGTCGACAAATCATAGTCAGGTGTATTTGTGCATATCCTCTCAGATTTGCAACGACCTAACTGCGACAAGATTTCACTATGATACTTTTCTAGTCCGTTTCGAGAGAAATGATGTTGTCAGAAAGAGATAAAAGTGCTTCTTTAGCAGGGGCGCCCCGATATCTCGAAGGCAGGCACATTGTGAGTTTGTCCATAGGCCAGGCGGACATTTGCTATAGAAGCAGTCCGAAAGTCTATAAACACTTTTTTTATAGGTTTTCAAACATGCTCTTTCCAATAGTGTGTTTTACAAAGTTCAAAGAGGCTTCCATCTGGGTTCTCCAGAGATCGGATCTCTAGAAAACTCACACACAAGTACTCTGGAGCTTTATAAACCGTATCATTGGAAAGAGAGTCACAATTTATGTTTCGGGTTTAGCATTTCGTTAGACCCAACAAGTTTTTGCTCAGAAAAATCTACTCATCGCATATCATTCGATGCAGTTTCTTGCGCTGATTCTGAATATATCAGTTTTATTGAATAAAAACACTCCTGGGACGAGAAAAATGAAAAATACGATCCAAAACTAGTCGTTTTTGGAAAACCTACAACTCAGCATAGAAAACTTTTCGTTACTTTTAGCTAACTGTGCGCATGCGTCCTATATAGCTCAACATTTCATGAAAGTTTCATCTAAATTGAAGTTTCGCTTTTCTTCGCTCATGTACTTTACTGAATGCACCGCACCTCTTTGGAAACTCGCTAATAAAATGTACAACAACTCTTTTCCATCTGGAAAACTCCTAAACTAGAACTTTCTTTTAGCAATCGATAGAGTACTTGACAAAGACTAAGAATATATATTTTTTTGTTTGACTGCTTAGCTTACTTTTGCGTTTAATTCAGTTTTCCGACAGTGCCTCTTTTTTTAGCGTAATTTTTGTCTATATGATTTTCTTATACATAAGTATGCCCTAAGAAAAAAAACTTTTCGTCATCGAATAGAGCGTGGTCCAAAGTATATAAATCAGTATTTGAATCACCGAAAAGCGCACTTTCAGTTTTTCACCGAAAGTCCACCTGGATGCACACTATGGCAGAGAAGGGGCAGTCAATTTCGGAGTCAGTTTTTATGCTTTTAAAAATCGAAGTAGAAGTACAAAAAAAAGATGAATATTCTGAGCAGTTTTCTTCTAAAGCAAGGCTGAATTTCCTTCTGTCTAACTCTATTTACTTCAACATAATGCCTTATAATAATATAAAAGCACCATATAAACAACTTATAATATAAAAATACATTTACCGAAGCCATGATACAGTCTACTCTACTTATCTTATCTTATTTATGTACATGACAGAAACTTTATTTTCTATCAAACACAGAAAGAGAAAAAGCAAATGCTTTACTCTAAAAATGGAAGTCTATGTCTTACTCCGAAAATAGAAGTAAATATCTTACTTTTGAAAAGAGAGTGAATTCCTAACTACGCAACTGAGTAAGCCTTTGCTCTCAAAATTGGAATAAATATCTTGTTAATTGAGAGTAAACGCCCTGCTCTGAAAATATGAGTAAACGCTTTACTCTGTAGGATATTCTCGTAAGTCAAAGACCTAATTTTTGGAGTAATTCTCTAATACACAATTCTCTAATGTGTACAAAAGCTGTGGTTACGGTTTCTGGAAAGCATTTGCATTAATTTCTAACTCATGCGAAAGAATACGACACAGTGTGCATGAATGAGATGATCAAGAGATTTTTAAGGTATTTGAATGGATGAACTCATCCAACACATTCGAAGCGAGAAGATTTCCAAGTTATTTAACTCATTTCAACCGAGCATCTGCGCAGAATTTATCTCTTAAGGGTACTCTCCTCCCCTCTTTTTTGCAGAAACGTTTCAGTTTGAGCTGAACATAGTCTAATATAGAGGAAAGTCAAATGGTTTATCCGGTGAAAAATTACTTTTATCTCTGAGCATGCTCATTCGATTCTCCATTGAAAATGACTCAGAAATTCAAATTTTGAAGCCTTAGAAACATTTTCTTACCGATTTAGGAAATTTTTACGAAGAGCCCTGCGAAAAATTCTCAGAAGTCGCTCAAAAACTGCACGTTTCTGCATTTATTTCCTTGTGAGCTGTATGATTTTGAGCTATATATCAATCGAAAGCGCGGAAAAAACTGAACAAAACAGGCTATTTCTCAAGTGTTTCCATGGGGAAATTTTAGTACATACCACGGCGTTTACATCCGTGAAGGTTGTGGAACGGAATGTGAACGCAAGTGAACATCGTAAATGATGTGTTGGCACGCGTGAAAAAATAATCCGCTTGTGACCAGTCGTGAACTGTGTACGAAATTTTTTCCATCACGTTTTTCGCACAAGTGAAAAGATATGTGACCACGCATGAAAAAGTTATCCGCCTGTGATCAGACGTGAACAGTTCACGAAAACATATATGTGACGTTTCTCCCGCGTGATCACTAATGGAACTTGTAAAACGTGTAGTGACGGCGGGTGGATTTTTCGCGTTAATATCTTCGTAAAAATGGTTTCACTTGCGAACATGCGTCAGAATGTCTAGAACGGATTTTGTTATAAAAGATAGCACTTCACATTAATCTACGTGTAATTTTTTCATGCAGTTCTTTTCTAATCACGTTTATCCACAAATGAAAATGTTTCGATTAGTTAAGACTTACCTGAAAATCTGTGCAAAAGTGTTTACGGTAGAATTTCTTAATCGGGAAAGTTTATTTATTTGGTACTAAATGTGCAGTTTTTAGCACTAACGAAAAGCAAACACATACAAATGAAATCCAAAAACATAAGATTATGTATTTTCTGTCAAATTTGGGTATTGCAAGTAGTAATAATAGTTATTTGCTTTATCGTAATAAGAGAATATTTTCTCAGCAACGCACAAAAATGGAACAAATAATAAATCTTGTAATGAATTAACGATACCGACGTAAACGGTAGGACATATAACTTTGTGGCTATCTAATATCATTTTCAATTTGCCATGTGCTG